GAGTCAGAGAAACGCCAATTTTATGCTGGGAGGCTTAAGTGGTTTTGTGATATAGAAGTTTAATGACAAGCTGTGCAATTTTTATATAACAATTCCCAATTTGTAATAAAAATGGGGAGGGAGTAGGAATAAATTAGTACTCCGCCGGCTACTTGGTAATGAAAGTAAGAGTGGATGGTCCTTGGTGCAATATCTGTAGAGGGTGCAAATGGAAAATATATTGGGAGCTGGGGTATATATTTTCGTCTTCTTGTTCATCCTCTCTTCCCATGCCATAGTAGTCTCCTCTCTCCCTCTGTACCCGATTAACCTTATTGCCTTCTCTCCAGTGAAATAAAAAAAATGAAGAATTGGTTCAGGTTTGGCGCGATAAGGAAGAAGGGTATACTTTTTTTTTGTTTCCAGTGTTAATTTTGGTTGTGCGTTTTTCTGACAGATGAGTTTAGGTCTTCTTGGAATGATTGGTGGGCAAAAGAGAAGAAAAGAAAGTGCGATATAATGTTATTAGGTTTTGGATGGGTACGGTTATTCTGACTTAATTTAGATAAAGTTGATTAATTATACTTGGCACAGTAGAGGATTTATTTAAGAAAGCTGGAAACCCAACCCAGATCATTTTTCTTAGAGTAAATTCTATAATTGGTCCTTTATAAAAGGAGGGTTTCCCTATTTAGTCCTCTATTATCAAATATTACTCAAGTGGTCCTTCTTTTATGGGTACTTTTCCACAAATAGTCCTTTTTTGATCTTCTATCATATTAGTGTTAATTTGAGGGCTAAAAGTGTAATTTCACAATGATAATATATCTTTTTTGTCATACACAATTCCAAAGACTGTTCCATTTGCGTCGTTTGTGAATTACAGTTGCTTTTTACGACAACTGTAGTATATAAATGTGATTTTTCGTCAGAATCCTAGCCCACAATCATAGTCATTATTTTTGTGTTATCCGCTTAACCAATATCAGAACACGTCACTAAACATAATGTTGACGTCAAATTATACTTTTAGCCTTTAAATTAATACCAACACGGCAGAAGATCAAAAAATGACCATTTGTGGAAAGGTACCCTTAAAATAAGGACTACGGAAGTAATATTTGATAATAGAGGATTAAATATGGAAATCCCCCTGTTATAAAGGACCAATTATGGAATTTACTCTTTTTCTTAAGCAAACTTTCTTTTGTAAAAATTTGCAGTGTTTGGATAGGCACGGCAAGGAGTCAAAGCAATGCCAATTTGAAGCTGAGGAGCTTAAAAAGTTCTGTGATATCCTTCTATATACAATGCTAGGTGCAATTTGTAAACAGTGTTCCCGCCTATTTTTATTGGGCCAATTTAGTGGGCTTTAAGCTGCAAGGTAATGGGCTAAGAATTCTGGCCTGTTAAAGGTTAAATTTTCTGTAAAATGTCAATTCTGAAACCCTTGGACATTGTGAGGACAGCAGCAACCCTTGAACAGAGTGAAGACGGGAGCATCCCTTGAACAGTTTCGGTTTTGATGGTGATGATGAAAAAAATGTCATGCGTAGGGCGGCGACATGACTCAATGGGTTTTATGGGCAAGTGTGTATGCCATGCATATGGGTAAATGTGTATGGCATGGAGCCACGCACCATAAAGTAAGTAGTCCATTTTATCTCAAATCAACATTTAATAACCAGATTTTACAAATTTTTTCTTTATCTTTTTTGTCAGTCCGTATCTCAAATGTCATTAATGACTATGTGGTAGAACCAATTTCTACACAATAGATACAGCACCAAATTGATATCTTCCACAACATATCCTCATCTTCAAAATTCTGCATTCTAAAGATGTTGTCACAGAGAAAAAACACGGCAAGAGGTAAGAATACCAAACATTGAGAATAATATTTTCATTTATTATTTATAAAGTAGAAAATAGAATATAATCTTGAATACAATTTCTCTAATATAAAAATTCAAGTTAAATTTTTATCCAGATTCATACATTGAAACAAAAATATTATACACATTATTTATTTGAGTGTTAAACAAATAAAGAAATGTATTTAAAAAATTCATGCAAAAAAATAATATAAATAAACTATTTATTGATTTTTGGAGAAAAGTTTAACAATATCTAAGAAAAGGTTTAATTACTTCCTCTATTTTGTAGTAATTTTGCAAAGATGTATACTCTTACACAGAATTTTTTTTAAACACATGACTTATTCGAAAGGAATTTTTATAAACAATAGTTCACTTGAAGATATTTCTGTTTAACTTTAGACGACATATCTCACACTTTTTTTATACAAAAAATTATGAGTGATTATATGCATGTATGGATTACAGATCTGTGTGTTTTGGAAATAGTTTCATTATATATATTTTATATAAATTAATAAAAGGACATAAAACTCTAAAGTATGTTTCAAAACTAAAGATCTAAGATAAAATCACAAAGAAAGAAATAAGTGGGTATATAAAAATTAAAAAATCAGATCTAGATGAGTGATAGATAATCTACCTTCCGATTTGAAGAACTCGCTGGCGATAACTTTGAATTTACCACCATCTTCATAATCTCTCTCTCCCCGTCCTTGGGAATAATAGAGAACACGAGATATTGTCACCGGAAATGTGAGAAAGGGTTGTGAAGGAAACGTCGGTGGCTTGGGTATGCGAGAATCGGATTAAGACAAATCAAAGTAGACACGTAGATAGAGACAGAGAGGGAGAGAGCGCAAAGGTGAAAGGCGGAAAAGGAGCGAGCGAGAGAGAGATCTGGGTTTTGGTCGGTCAGGGTAGAAAATATAATTAGGTTTTATTAGTGGGTTGGGCTGAAGGGTTGTGGTGGGCTGGGTTTATATAATTGGGCTGGTGGATGAGTTTAAAATAATGCTTTTTGTAAGTACTTAAATGGGTTGATGGGTTTGAGTATATTCAAGTCCAATACATAAAATTTAAGATGTTAAAAAATAAATCTAATTCTAATCGAATAAACGTCGGAAAAAAATAAATTTCAACTTCTTCCACTTTCATTAAACTTGCATATTTGATGGAGCAAATTCTAGTAATATATTTTTTTGAAAAATGTAAAAAATCTCACGTATACTTCACAAAAATATTAGTTATCATGAATTTATTCAACGTATGTTTTATTTAAATGCATCATTATTTGTAATAATGCATTTAAAACGATATATACTACTTATTTACTTAGTTATCGTGAATTTATTTTGTTCAATTTTCTCAATATAAATACTACAATTTCTATCAACATCTTTTGAAGAGTTACAAGAATGACGGGATCCAAAAACAATATGCATATTAAGAAAAACAAAATAACGGACTATACTCCTTTGATTGATATAACAAATGGTTAGAAAAATATATAGTTATATATTAATTCATTGATGTTGCAAATAGGTATCTTTAATTTTTAACAATTTCAGAAAATCTAAAAAATTGGTGTGAGACACTACTAAAAAAAGTCCTACTCCATTTGGTTACAGAAGATTAAAAATTTAGCCATTAAAAAAGATTTAGCCATTTGGAGGTGCTTTTTTAGATTTACTCATTTAAAGAATTTAAATAAAAAATGTTTAAGTCAACTACAAACCACTTAATACAGGGAATAATTATTGCAAGAAAACATGCAAATATTTAATCATATTCATTGCTTGATATTTGTGATATTTCCAAGACATATATACTACAAATAAATAATCTTTTAGAATGTAACGACCTAATGCAACAAAATTCTTCATAACTAATTAAAAATAGACTTTTCCAAAAACTATCAACTAATTTCTCAATGCATAAATTCATTCAAAGGCTTATCAAACAAAATACATTTTGAATACCGAATTCGAAATTAAATTAATCGTTATTCTATCATTCTGTGATATGTTTTTGACTGTTCTAAATTAAAAGGGATTGGACCCTTTAACTTAAATTTGTGGGATGTCCTTTTTTAGCTTCTTAGGTTCTTTTCTTTTGGGTTAGAATTTCAGGGTTGGATGATGGCAGAAACTGAAAAAATTTAGAAAAAACTAGAAGAAGTTGGAAAAAGTTGCAAGGAATTGAAAAATATCGGAAGACTTTAAATGTTAACAAGACATTCAATTAAATGATTATTTAAATACATACGTAAGAAAATTCTAATTTTAGATTAAAAAAATAATTTATCATTGTTTATGTTTTAGGTGGTATATTATAAATTTGGATATGTAATACTCCATCCGTCCCATGAAACATGAGATGTTTTGTTTTTTGAAAAGATTTAAGGAAGTGTATTTTGGTATTAAATTTCCAAAAATGTTTTTTGATGTGATGAGTAAAAGTAGGATTTGATGGGTAGATTATTAGTAAAAAGGTATGATGTAATAGGTAGGGTATGAAAAAGTAAGGGGTAAAATTGACTTTTTAATAGAAATGAGAAGTGTTTTATGGGATGGATGAAAAAAGAAAGAAGAAATGTTTTATGTGACGGAGGGAGTATTATTTTATTTTTATCATATATGAATATATTTTTTGAGTCGTTATTGGAAAACTAGAACAAGTTGTAAGAAACTAAATGGAGTTGAAAAAAGTCGAAAGTTAACTTTTCCAACCCAAAAGAACAGAGCCTAATAGATAATATCAAGGAACTAATAGTAAAAATCAAAAAGATGGCAAAGTATTGTATTTTTCCTATATTACTTTTTAACGAAGTCATATTTTCTAATGGGTGTGTTGAACAATTATTTTCATTAACGTATTTGGTCAAAAAGTGACTTCACACGGGCAAGAAGTTGTTATTCCACGGTTGTCGCTCACATCGTCAGATGCAAGAATTCCTTTTAGATTTCAAAGAAAACAATTCCCAATCATGACTTCATACGCTATGACAATTAACAAAAGTCAAGGCCAATCTTTGTCCCATGTTGGATTGCTACTGAAGAAACCGATATTCAGTCATGGTCAACTCTATGTTGCAATTTCACGTGTTACTAGTCGCGAGGGGTTAAAGATCTTGATTTGTAATAAAGACCTTCTGTCAACAAACCAAACTATGAATGCAATTTATAAAGAAGTGTTCCAAAACATATAACACTGCATATCGACTACGGTCCTTCCTGTACACTACCTTATTTTGGATATTTTAAATATTATTTGTTATCTTTTAATTTTTGTATCATTTTTTTTTATTTCATATCATGACTAAATATATTTAATTTTACAGCCCGTGCATCGCACGGGTACGAGTCTAGTAGAAGTTTAATGAGAAGTTGTTTTCAACATACTTTATTGATGATGATCCTAATTAGTTTAATGACAAGCTGTTTTCAACATACTTTATTTCAGTAAATTTACATTATAACTAAATACTCCCTCCGGCCTAATTTAAATCGCTCGTTTTGACTTTTGGGCATATTTAAGGAAAATAAAAAATAGAGTTGATTTTTCAAAATTAACATTACTTTTTAAGAGGGGTAATGATGAATGAGAAGATAAGATGAAAAAGAATGACTTATTTTAAAGGTAGTTTAGGTATTTTATTTTTATTAGTTTACGAAAACAACTAACAGACAATTTATTTTGGGACGGAGAAAAAAGGCAAACAGTAAATTTAAAATGGGATGGAGGGAGTATATTTTTTTCATAACGCGTCGTCAAAAGTTGTCAGACTTTAACCAAAAATGTGAAACTATGATACTACCTCCGTCTCAGTGAATTGTCTAGTTTAACTTTTTCGAGTCAAACTGAACAAATTTTAAACTCCAATTACTCTCAATATATATTGCATATTAGCATAATGAAATACAGTTCTGAAAGCTCTCAATACGATAAATTCAATAAAGTCATTTTTATGTTAAAATACATTACAATTTTTATTTTGTTGAAGTTCAAAGTTTATCCATTTGATTCAAAAAAGTCAAATTGGATAAATACACTGGAACGGAGGGAGTAATATTTTAAGACTATCTATATACTCCCTCTGTTCCAAAATATAAGCAACATTACGCTAAACGAAGTAATTTTTTGAATTTTTTCAATCCATTTTATTTAAAGAATAGTCTACAAATCAAAAATAAAATCTACATATTTAAGAACTATGTCAAAAGTTTTACAAAGCAAGTGGTGACAAGAATATTTTATTTTATCAAATAATTAATAAAATGAAAAAATAAATAAAATTTCCCGTGATTTTTAAATAGTGGAGTATTGCTTATATTTTGAGACGGAAGGAGTATGTATAGTAGTGGCGAGTGGGCCTTTATTTCGGAATAATCTATCTATTATTTTCTCTATTCAAAAGTAGCATGATTTTTTTCCTGCACAAAATTTTAGTTGTTAATGGACCGGATATTACGCTGTTGATTAAGCCCACACACATTATTATGCAGTTATCTCCCACCTATATCTTTTTCTGGTTGCGCAAAACGAAAGAAAATTTTAAGTTTTTTCAATTTATTTTATTTAAATATTGGTATAGAAATAAAAAATAAAACATACATATTTAAAATTACGTTAAAAATTCAATAAAACAAGTATTGATAAGAATATTTTATTTTATCATATATGGCATGAAAAGACACAATAAATATAAATTTCTGTGAAATTGGAATAATGAAATGAAGAGAAAGTTTTAGGAGGGGGAGTACTATTTTCAACCGCCCCACCATTTTTATCTATTGCACTTTCTAAATTCAATACGCACTGCTGTTCTTCACCAGGCAATTTACCATTGTTCTTCCCTCTTCATTTCCGACGGAGAGCTACTATCTTAGCCGCCTGATTTTCTTCTTCATCTCATGTTGAGCCCTGAGCAGATTCCAAACGCCGGAAGGGCAACGACGCAGAGAGAAAAGGGAAACAATGCAGAGAGAGGACGCATGGCAGCGCAGGGCTAGGGTTTCACATTCCAGTTCCTCATTATAGTCTTAAAAATTTTGGTGTTGAAGAGATTGTTTTTTTAGTCCAAGTTGATTTTTTTTCCAGACCTCTGATATTTCCAAAGCAAGTTCTGACGCTAGCCGCAAGGGTCTTGACCCCTAACCCCTGTGATTGATACGGGCGAGAAAGGCATTTGGCCCTGCAAAATCAGTAGCTACTGGTCTTCTTCTTTTTTATCTTTATAGACTTACCTAACCATAAGTCCATAAGTCTGATTTTTTACTTCAAAAATGGAGTTGTTTTGCAATCTAGATTACTTAAGCAATGCTCAATATGTGTTCGACAAATTGCCTCAATGAGAAGGAGGGTCTAGGTAACATTTCATGCTGCTTCGTTTCTCTAATAGGCATAGTTCAATCAATAGTGGTGAGGTTATACTATTTCACCCAACAAATGCCATAAACATGCCTGAATATATCAAAGCTCTAAGGTGGGTCAATTTCTCACACAACTTCAATTTCTTTAAGCTTTAAAGTCTTCCAAGGTGATAAATCTCAGTCTTAAGCCTAAGATTTTTTTACCCCCCTTGCGATTCGGTGTTTTGCTTATTAAAAAAATGTAATGATTTGTTTGTTTTGTCTTTGTGGTAGGAATGAGTACACACTGTATGTAAAGTCTATTGGCAAGGTATGAGAGAACAAAGGATTATTCTATTTATGAAATGGTGTTGAGACCAATTTTTCTAAAGTGTATATTTTTTTTAGTTTTAAATTTTATTTTGATCTGTTTTTGGGATATTGACATGCTCGCACTTACAAAGAGAAATAGTTTGACAAAAGTAAATTAAATCAGAAAATATTTTCATATCAAGGTTTAGTTTGTAGTAACTTAGTGTGGGCTTTTTTGAATCAATGTTTGAGTTGCTTTCATATACAAAGAATATACTAAACTTTCAGTTTGTATGATTTTTAACATTAGATTGATAAATTGTGTAAATATCAATATGTACACAATTTCTTAAGATGTTCTTTTCTGCAATAGATGTATATGCCTATAATAATTACTCTATTTTTTGTATTTAGTGTTTTTTCTTTTGTTTTTTAATTGGTTTTGGTGTAGATTGTTAGCACCTCTTGTGGTGCCTATTTGATGGGTTCAAGAGCATTATGGACCTGCCCATGATATCAAGTTTTACATCAACAATGGAGGTAACACCGATAACTGACATTTATATAGGGTATTATTCATTTTAGATTTTAACTGCATCAATTCTGGAATAGCAACATTAGATACTAAAACCGCATATAGATTTTCAGTTTTATACTCCGTAATATGCTAAATGAGATTGACATGGTTTGACTCTTGATGAGTCTTTTTTGAAATGGTGACCTTCAAACCTAGGCAAAACACAAGGGTCTCTAACTCAATGTTTTGCCCGAGTTGCATCATCAAGGTAAATTCTTTAAACACCAATTTCTTTAAATAACATATTTTCTTTTAACGAGAAGCAAAATGAAAATTTGTGCTTTCTCACCTCTGGTCTACACTCTCTAACAACTATAACGAGAGTTTGATGCCATTTTATTTTCCTTTCAAGACTTCATCTGAGTTTGTTTTGAGTTACTGATATAAGGTTTCAGCTAATGATCAAGTGATTTGGGTTTTACTAATAGTATTTTGAGAGGCAAGGGCTTATTAGAAGTATAAAATCAGATATGGTTTCATTCTCAGTGTATTATTGTGTAGTAACGTGTGTGATTTCTTTCAGTCCCTGGTATTTCACATTTTAGATCCAAGCATAGCTACCATGGTTACACTTTTTATTCGTTCTTTGTCCATTCGAACATCAATAAGAGCAATGGGAGCAATTAAAGTCAATCATCTTTTAACTTCAAAATCTTCCAGGGTGATAAATCTCACTTAATGATCAAATAGTTTGGGTTTTTAGAATACTACAGTTCAAATAGAGTCAACTCTGTAAATGTAGGGTTCGTTTGGGAACATTTTAAGTGTTTAGCGTTAGTGTGCTGAAAATATTATTTGATAACATCTTTATTTTCTTTTCTGTTCTTTTTTTTATTTTTTAATTTTGATTAATATAAAAGAAATGAAATAAAATTAATATTTTTAAAAAAAGGAAATAACTAAATAAATCTTACTCTTTACAAAAGCAAAAGAAAATTTTCTAGCTCAAATTCTCAAGCATTAGTGGGCAGAATAACTTACTTTCGTGGGCTTTTTAAAAGTATATGGGCTGAGAAATTTTTTATTTTTGGCGGTTATGTCATACATAAGAATCACTACTTAATTTTTTTTGTTTAAAGTACTTACCACTTTATCTTTTTTTTGCGATTACCACTTCATTAATTATTAAACTATTAAATTATTTCTTTTAAATTTTCAATAGAAAAAACTTTTAGACATGATGTGAACAAGATATATCAATATTCAATTTCATATTATGTAATTGTATGTTATTTATATATTACACATTGATTACTATTACACTGCATATTATTCTTACCGTGCATCGCACGGGTAGAATCTAGTATATATAAAAAACACAATCAAATCCTCTTCCTAGATCTAACGGTGCAATTTCAATTTTAGATTTGATCCAACGGTTCAATTTCAATGTGGCAATTTTGAAATAAAAACCGAATTGATGGACATTTATAACTCCATTTAGAAACCGTTTTCTCCTCCCCTTCTAATTCCGTTCTGCATCTCCCCTCCCTTTGTCCTTCAGCGATCGAACCACCGGGGGTCTATCTTCGTTTCCTTCACCGTCGATAGTCGTCATCCTGTACTCTTCTACGTTCATCAACACTTCGATCATCCCTCCGTCCATCCGTGCATGAGCCGACGGAAAACAACGGCCGTATCTCCCCCCTCAACCCACGATTTCATTTTCTCCACTAATCGAGGTGAGGCGTTTTCATATGTCTTTGGTTAGAGTTTCCATAGATTAGAATCATAATCGAATGAATTGTGCAATTGATTGTAGAATTGGATGATTTCAATGTTGAATTGGATGTTTAATATGTTTGGGATGAATTTCAAACGGAATTCCCTACGGGTTACCGACCAAACGCCGGCAGCGGGGTAGGTCCGATTTGGCAGGCCACTGGGCAGACTCAATTGAGTCTGAATTGGTCTAATTGGACCTGTTTAGGTAAGGATTGATCCAATGGGATTAGTTTTGGTGCAATTGGGGACATGAACGACTACTTGGTTTATTGGAACATTATAGACCACAGGTGGGCCATGTTGCAGCGGCACCCACTTAGTGATGTTAATTAGGGAGATGATAAATATAAACACATATAAAAGGAAATGCATTTTTAATGAACGGTAAATACAAGATACGGAGTATTTTTTTTGTAAGCATACACTAAAGTCAATGTGGAGGATGTTCAGTAGAATGATGATGAGCTTTGGGTGCCATCAACAACCAATAGTTTGTTGCACTTAGTATAGAGCATGCCATAGAATTCAAAGTCATATAAAAGTAACCTTAGAGCCATAGAGGTACCTGAATAGGAATCTACCCAAGCATATAAAACGCATCCAATCAACACCAACCATGATATTGTTCCAGATAAGAAAGTCCATCTACCTTGATGTCCAAACACCAGAGTTCTCTGGTTGTTGTCATCGCCTGGTCGCACATTCTCTTAGGCCTCTCTTCCTTCTGTTCTTCCTACATCACTTCCAACAAACAATGCATCATCTTTAAGTAAATGAAATAGGTATCATGAAGTCTTATTATGAACGATAAATTCTTCTAATGTGGAGGATGTTCAGTAGAATGATGATGAGCTTTGGGTGCCATCGACAAGGGAGGATTTGGGTTGTGACTTGCGACATCAAAAGAACATGGAATTGTATAAATTGATAAATGCAAATCTAAGGGGTGAGCCAAAGTTTAATTAAACTTGATGTTTATGGTTTTCTGAATTTAAAATTAAATGCACATAATTAGTTTGATGAATTGTTAATCAAATATAGGATAATTTATCTAACATGTATTGCTTGTTAGCCAAGTATCCTGTACCAAGCAAACACTTAAACTTATTAAGTTATGTTTGGAATTGGATTGAACATATTTTTGAGCTCGTGAATTTGCAAGTCGCAATTGTGTTCTTAAAGATCATGCATTGTTTGTTGGAAGTGATGTAGGAAGAACAGAAGGAACAGGTAATAGAGGCCTAAGAGAATGTGCGACCAGGCGATGACAACAACCAGACAACTCTGGTGTTTGGACATCAAGGTAGCTGGACTTTCTTATCTGGAACAATATCATGGTCGGTGTTGATTGGATGCGCTTTATATGTTTGGTTCGATTCCTATTCAGGTACCTCTATGGCTCTAAGGTTACTTTTATATGACTTTGAATTCTATGGCATGCTCTATACTAAGTGCAACAAACTATTGGTTGTTCCTCTCTAGCTAACTTTATTATTTGACATGTTTGAGATAGATAACCTCCAAAATTGATATACATATAAGTAAAAGGGTCACCCATTCTGGGCAACTAACCACCTATATGTTACAATTGATAACAAAGTGTAAATTAAAGTAATTAAATTGATAGAGTATAACTTTAAAGGCTGATTTTGGGAGTGAATCAGACTTGGAATATGAGTTTCAGGATAAAACAGAAGCTCTATGGGCTAATTTTTAAATGGAAATTGATTTACAAGCAGATTTTCAAAAGAAAATTAAAGTTTTAGAGGCTGATTTTTTAAAGGAATCAGAATTTAAACTTGATTTTCTTAGGCAAAGTGAACCTTTAAAAGCCAAGTTTGAAAAAGAATTTGAATTAGGGGCTGAATTTACAGTTTTAGGGGCTGATTTTTCAAGAGTATGACTGTGATGATGACTTTCAAAAGGAACTTGTACCTATAAAGGCTGATTTTGAAAAACAAGTTGAGTTTAGAAAAACTTTCTTCATGATCTTGATGGGTTCCAAAGTTATGAAACTGACCGTTTAGAACATAATCAATATAATAAAGTTGGCATTCACTTTGATGTTGATATAGCTTCCTTGAAATTGAAAAGGAACAAACTGAAATTGATGTAAGAGCTATAAGAGATTATTCAAAGGTTGTTCAATTCAAATTGTTAGAGGTTTTAACATCTAGAATTTTTATTTCTTTTCTACTTTTAGAAACCTTATGTTTGGAATTCTATATTTTTCTTTAGGCCTAATATGCCTTATGTGCAAAGGTTTCAAAAAGTTGAATCTAAAGATGATTCACTGATTTTAATAGAATCCCTACTCCAAAGTGCACTTCATTAGATTGCTTTTAGTTTAGTTCGGGTTCAGATTTAATTGAGTCATCAATTAGTTTGATCTTTAAAAAAAACGTAGGGATCAATAGGCTAGGCTTCCATGGAAACATTTTAAGCAATCACATTAAAATAAAACTCATCCATTTAAATTTGTTTTTTAACTCACATCCCCTATAACTTATACGGACGACGGAGTAATATATTCATCTAAAGTCAAAGATACTCATTCATCAACATAATCAATCTTTAAATACCATATTCTAAAAATAATCCGCATTTCATTATTCATCTATTGCATTCATTTAAAACACGAGTATAACAAGTTCAATTATTTAACTAAATAAATATTTAAATTTTTTGGTATTAAATCTTACAAATTATATATTAAAAATATATAAACTAAATATTAAATTTAATAGGCCCAGCATTGAAACGCATTCAAAGAAATGAATGTTTAGCACACATGCACTCTCCATCTAATATACTATCGAGTATTTCTTAATTTAAATAAGTAAATATTAGCCCATTATATCCTAAATCCCCTGGTTACCCAAAATCACAGAAAAACGACATTTTAATTTCAACTTGCAAGAAAAATGAAGTAGGATCTCATCATTTAAAAAAAACAGTAATAATACGATATCATTAAGCCACAAATGAAACTGGAACGTTGTTTATCCATTCGTCCTTATAATAAGAAAGGAAAACAGCAAAATGCAAACACCTGATCGACTGATTAAAGACCAAATCCAACAAACCACGATATAAAAACACTTATATAGTAATTATTTAGATGAGACAAAATTTATTAGTAGTAGCAATTAGTAGCAGACTTGAAAAAGGCCTGCTGGATTCTCTTCCTTCCGTCTCTCTGTCATCCTATCCTTCGAGCCTCTACTCACTCTACATGTCATATGCATATTTACCAACAAAAAGTTAAAATTAGAGAGAAGAATGGCTACAGAAATATGGAGTAAAAGAGATGTTAAAAAATACAGGGGTGGAGTTGGTGGGATGGGGGGGGGGAACTCACCATAGTGGCCAAAAGCGGAAGGGGGAGGAATATCGCCGCTGCCGTTGCCATTGTCGTTTCTGCCGTTGCCGTTTCCATTGGCTTTGACGGCGGCGCCGTTAGCTTCTCGGCCTTCTCCACCTTTCCCATTGGGTTTGATCACTGCAGGGGGAGGAACATCTCCCCCAAACTTTGCCTCTAATATCTCCCCTATCATCACGGTTCTCACCATCATTGTTTTCATCCAAGCATGCATTTCACCCACCAACTCAGACGTTGAAGGATAAAATTCAAACTTAGATTTCACTCCTTGCCCAGTCCGTTTGGGCCCATGCTTCACCACGGTTCCTATAGCTCCGGCGATGTTAGCCGCCATCTTTACCGCTCAGGCGACTAACCCCGTTTTGGACAGCACCTCCCAAATTTTTTCAGCTTTGTCGTTCTCCCGAATTGCACCAAAACGGAACCATTTTTTCATTTTGGCTGTGAGAATTTTCAAGACCTAAATTGGAGAATGGGAGGATAGACTCTGTAGAATCGAGAGGGATGGGGTTAGTCGCCAGATCGGCAGAGATGGCGGCTAACATCGCCAGAGCTATAGGAACCGTGGTGAAGCATGAGCCCAAATGGATTGGGCAAGGAGTGAAATTTAAGTTTGAATTTTATCCCTCAACCCCTGAGTTGGTGGGTGAAATGTATGCTTGGATGAAAACAATGATGGTGAGAACAACAAAGATGGAGGAGATCATAGAGGCAAAGTTTGGGGGAGATGTTCCTCCCGCTGCAGTGATCAAACCCAATGGGAAAGGTGGAGAAGGCCGAGAAGCTAACGGTGCCGTCGCCAAAGCTAATAGAAACGATAGCGGCGATATCCCCCCCTCTTCTGCTTTTGGCCACTATGGTGAGTTCCCCCCCCCCCCATCCCACCAACTCCACCCCCTGTATNACTTCGTATTTATGTATCCATATTTCTCTCTAATTTTAACTTTTTGTTGGTAAATATGCGGATGATATGTAGAGTGAGTGGAGGCTCGAAGGATAGGATGATGGAGTAACAGAAGGAAGAGAATCCAGCAGGCCTTTTTTTAAGGCTGCTGCTAATTACTACTACTAATAAATTTTGTCTCATCTAAATAATTACTATATAAGTGTTTTTATGTCGTGATTTGTTGGATTTGGTCTTTAATCAGTCAATCAAGTGTTTGCATTTTGCTATTTTCCTTTCTTCTTTTAAGGATGGATGGATAAATAGCGTTCCAGTTTCATTTATGGTTTAATGAGATCCTATTATTACTGCTCTTTTTAATGATGAGATCATACTTCATTTTTTTCTTGCAATTTAGAAATTAAAATGCCACTTTTATGTGAATTTGTGTAATCAGGGGATTTAGGATATAATGGGTTTAATTTAGTTATTTAAATTAAGAATTACGGAGTACTCGATAGTATATTAGACGGAGAGTGCATGTGTGCTAAACATTCATTTCTTTGAATGCGTTTCAATGTTGGGCATATTAAATTTAACATTTACTTTATATATTTTTAATATTGAATTTGTAAGATTCAATCCCAAAATATTTAAATATTTTATTTAGTTAAATAATTGAACTTGTTATACTCGTGTTTTAGATGAATGCAATGGATGAATAATGAAATGCAAATTTTTTTTAGAATATGGTATTTAAAGGTTGATTATGTTGATGAATGAGTATCTTTGACTTTAGATGAATATATTATTCCATAGTCTGTATAAGTTATAGGGGATGTGAGTTAAAAAAACAAATTTAAATGGATGATTTTTATTTTAATGTGATTGCTTAAAATGTTTCCATGGAAGCCTAGCCTATTGATCCCTACGTATAGCATTACAATTTTTATTATCCTCCATATAAAACTACTGGTAAGGGTGGATTTTATTTTCACTTTATTTGATAACTTTAAATTTGATACTCCCTCCGTCCTATATCTTTTTTCCCGGTTCGCAAAACAAAGAAAAATCTCAAGTTTTTTCAATATATTTTATTTAAATATTGGTATAGAAATAAAAAATAAAACATACATATTTAAAAACTACATCAAAAGTTCAACAAAACTAGTGGTGACAAGAATATTTTATTTTATCATATAGGCCATGAAAAAACACAAATAAATATAAATTCCCGTGAAGTTGGAATAGTGCTCTGGGAAGAAAGTTTTAGGACGGAGGGAGTAATTTGGTCTATGTCATGGGATGACAACTCGGGACACTCCGGTGCCTCGTTCATCAAATTGATAAGTTCTATCTTCTAACTCCCCGGTAGACTCTCTACCCGAACACACCTCACCCCCTTTGGTTGCACCCTACAATTAATTTTGATTTTATAGTCAAATTTGTTGGGTGCAATTGAAGGGGGTGAGAGGTACGTTTGGGTTGAGGTGAGCCGTTAATTTTAGGAACGGACATCAGAGTACCCCTGAGTTATCTATGACATTGTCGGATAATATCATGGGAACCGTCTCGTTTATAAATTAGTATAGACATAAAAAGTATAAATTTCATCGTTTAAAAGTACATGACAAACTTTATAAAAATAGGTGATAAAAATATTTTATTTTATCAAATTATCAATGAAAATATATGCAAACAAATAAAAGTTATCGAAAAATCATAATAGTGACAATGATTGTAACACCCCGGCCCCCACCTTGTCCGTAAGTGTCCGCTCATAGGATTGTAAACTGGCCCCACAAACCAACACACGCCCAAGGAATTTCCTAGGGAGTCACCCATCCTAAAATTACTTCAGGTAAAGCACGCTTAACTTTGGAGTTTCTAGGTGATGAGCTCTTGAAAAGAAGATGCACCTTGTTAGTATGAGTAGTACTATCAATTCTTTTGAATAAATTATAATGATTAAATTATTGAACTTACTTTATGTTGGTTTGGGCTGGGACTCTAAGTTTTATTTACTCTCAAATGTTTATATGTTAAGTTTTTTTTTAAAAATAATAATCATTAAACTCTTTAATTATTAAAATGAGAACTAATTCTAAATAAATAAATGTTTTACAAAGTAAACTCGGCTTTGCTAGTGCTCCGGTCTGGTGACTCGGGTCATCCAGGGTAGGGTGTTACAATGATATCCGTCTCGAAAGGGAGAGAGTATATTGTATTGTAATATAATCTTTATAATAAGTGATTCATACCGAAATGTAGCTTTGAGAAGGAAGAGAAGTATGCACCGTCCTATTGCTATGTGATAGGAATTAATCTAGATTATTTTTTTTCTTCTAATTTCTGTGTAATCACCTTCAAACTAAAAGGTAGCACGTTTCTCTAAATAGGTACAAGTATGTTTAATTTCCTTTATGGCACATAATTTCATACGGTCTGTGATATATGTCGTCATTCGCAACAAGCGTTGAATAATGACTGATTATACGAAAGACTCTACGAATGTGGTAATTAGTACTCCCTCCGTCCCATTTTATAACGCATGTTTCGGTTTACGATGTTTGACTGAAATTATTTTCAAATCATTTTATATAACAAATGGTATAGAGTTAAAACATAAAAATTACATATCAAAATACTACATCAAAAGATCTACAAAACTAGTAGTGACAACAATACTTTATTTTATCAAATTGCTAATGAAAATAGAGAAAGAAAGTGAATGAAGTTTGACCCTGTGAATAGTGAACATGCATTATAATTTGGGACGGAGGGAGTAACAAATATTGGATAATGACTAATTATTTTAATGACTATTCAAACTGTTTTTAATAATATTTATACTACTTGAATTGTGTAATTGTTCATTTTTCTTAAGGTAGTGTTTGGCGACTAGCATTTCATTTCAATTCATGTATTTTAATTCCAAAATTTGAAATCCTAGATTTCAAATGACAAGGAGAGGTGCATGAATTTTAAATTAAGCTTTATTTTGAATGTAAAGAATTTGATTCAAATCCAAATTCAAAATGTTTATGTTTTCCAAACATGGAATTTAAGCCAAATCCAAATTTGAAATCCAAATTCATGTTCCCAAACATACTATAAAGGCATTGCATTTCAGAACTATCCATTGCCAAATGTTAAAATAGATAAAACTGGTCCTATTTAGGAAAAAGTGATATGTTTAAGTCTTATTTGCGTAAATTACCCCAATCATCTAACGCTTCAAAGAGATGACACCATTGTATCATATATTTGTGTAAATTACCCCAGTCGTCTAAGGCGTCAAAGAGATGACACCATTGTATCCCATCTTTCAAAGGAATAATGTTGGCTTCCGTCTAAAGGAATAATGTTGGATCATTTGGGTATATGGTCTTTTTTGAAATAATGTTAGAGATTAGCATTATCATTTTCGAAATAATATGTAATGTTAAAAATTACAGAGTACTATCATACTCTGTATTACATTTTTAAAATACAAAAATTTAATACATTGAAGCTTATACTAAACGAAACCGAAATAAATCCTTCCCTTTTTGTCTGTGTTGCTGATCCTTTTCTATATTGGTGCATTCAAACTGGATACAAGAAATTGAATTACAATAGGAAAAATAATGGTACAACATTTTAAACTAGATTTTATTGATTAATAAGAAATAAAACATCATTTTCATATCAATCCATCGCAAAAAAAATCTTCATTATATATTTATTCATCTAAATGGGGGAATTACACTTGATAAAGCCAAATCATTAAAGCTTGATGTATCCGTTCTTGATCATCCATTCCAAACTCCAATGATTATTCACATTCTTGAGGGTCCAATAGGCCCACCCAAAACTAGCATTACCAAAGACTTGTAATTGGGCCTGGGCGTATCTTTGGTAATCCTCTTTGGTTGGACTTTTAACGTTCCATTCTGCGACCCATTCTCCTACAAAGCTAAGAGGCCCATTATTTGATGGCGTGACCAGGCCCAAATCCACAGACCGGTTGTTGGATACATAATCTATAGTTTGTTGGGCCGTCATGTTGTCGAACATATCGCTGAAGAGTTGGTAATAATGGACATCGATGACGGTTCTCTTCAAGCCCATGATGGCCCCGAAGAGCTCCGTCGGGTTCATGGGCCCCAACCGGTTTGACATAATAACATGGGCCGTTGTAGAGTATTTCCGGACCACTTCGTAACCGGCTTTGTAATATTCGGTGAGGGTTTCGAGTTGGACCCCCGGAGCAAGAGGCTCGTTGATGAGTTCAACCGCATAAAGGCTCGGGTTTTCGGCATACCTTATTTGTTCAAAGAGAGAAATCTCACGAATGGAATATGAATTACTAAAAAATCAAAACGAAAAATATTTTCTTAGGACACCCAAAATGGAAAACAAGTAAAGTTTTTTGATAACGAGAGAGTAGAAATATTGTGGTATCAATTTTTGAAAAAATTTCAAATTTGACGCGACAGATGACTACTGTCTATGAAATTGTATGCAATTGATATAATTGTAAGTGAAGTATGGGTGCTCACCGAAGATTATATCCTCTATACATAAACATTCAAATATATTTGTCACACGTTATCAAATTTGTTGTTATTCTAGTGTCTCAATTTGCTAACTAGAAACACTTGTAAACTATTTTAAGAAAGAGTAAATTCTATAATTGGTCCTTTATAACAGGGGGGTTTCCTTATTTAGTCCTCTATTATCAAATATTATCCTAGTTGTCCTTCTTTTATAGGTACCTTTCCACAAATAGTCCTTTTTTGATCTTCTATCATGTTTCTGTTAATTTCAGGGCTAAAAGTGTAATTTCACAATGATAATATATCTTTTTTGTCATACACAATTCCAAAGGCTGTTCTGTTTGCGTCGTTTGTGAATTACAGTCGCTTTTTACGACAACGATAGTCTACAAATGTGATCTTTCGTCAGAATCTTAGCCTACAATCATAGTCATTAATTTTGTGTTATCCGCTTAACCAATATCAGAACACGTCACTAGACATAATGTTGATGTCAACTTATACTTTTAGCCTTTAAATTAACACCAACACGACAAAAGATGAAAAAAAGGACCATTTGTGGAAAGGTACCCTTAAAACAAGGACTACGGGAGTAATATTTGATAATAAAGGACTAAATATGGAAACCCCCGTGTTATAAAGGACCAATTATGGAATTTACTCTTTAAGAAAATAGGATGAATAAATATATGAACAATGATGATGATGAAAAAGTATATGGCACCTTGCAGTTAAGAAATCGATAACTGCTACTGTTTGACGAATATTTTCCTTTGTTTTTCCCCACTCTTGGGATCCATCTCTAGAAGAGCTATGTTCCCAACCATTTTGTGATCCTGGAGCTGCATGAAGATCGACTATAACTTTTACCCCATATTTCCTGTACAATGTTATATAATTTTTTTGTTATCAAGTTATCATACCATAAAAAATACTCCATAATCTTCTACCTCACTAATTTATAAAATTTGACATCTTCTCTTTTATAGACGTATACAAATAATAATTCTCAGCGCATCGATACTAATTATTCATGTGCATAATCAATTTTGAGCAATGCTACGTTCACAAACAGAATGATCACAAACTCCACAAACCTACTATTTATGGTTTAAATTATCATTTTAAAATTATTTTAGACTATTTAATTTTCTTTATTAAAGTTCACAAATAGTAAGTTTGTGAAATTTGTGAAGTTTGAGTTTGTGAACCAAGCATTTTCCATCAATTTTAACATCAAAGTTGGTGTGTAGACTTACGAGGCCCACGAGAAGGCATTGTCTAAGGCCTTTAAGGATCCATCAACAAAGGGCTTTGGAGGGTTTGGGTCGCTTGCAATCCACCATCCTACCGGAATTCTTACCGCATTCAATCCATTGCTTGATATGAACTTGAAGTCGTCTTCTACAATGAATGTCCTCCAATGTTCCTTCATATGTGCATATATTTTTTTTTGTTTTTTTAAACAAAAAAAGTGTTTTAAAATATAGGTATATTCTTGCATTCATCAAAATTTACCCCTATTACTTTACTCCGTACTAAAATTAAACAATCATATAGGCATCCTAGTGGATTCTTTTTTATTGAAAGTGCTTCATTCCTCTCAAAAATGTGTCATATTTTGATTTTGCAGAGTTTAAAAGAAGTCTTAAAAGTTAAAAAAAGGCACTTGAAATTTGTGTAGAAGAAAGAAAAATATTGAGGGTGTTGATTCTTTTTGTTTAATCAAAAATAAAATAGTCTGTAAAAAACTATTTTGGGATATAGAAAAAACATGAAATGTTGTTTTAATTTTAGAAGGGCAATCCTAGGGATTCACAAAATTTAGATATTCATTTGTACACTAAGTATACAAAGACACACATAGACATTAGACACCTAGTGTCTGTGTGCGTCTGTGTATGTTTGATGTGCAAATAAGGTACTTATCTTGGTATACTTTGAACTTAATTCTACTTTTATCTAAGAAGAGTGGAGTAAAATTGAGTGAAGAGTTATTGTTCAATTTAATTTTTTCAAATCAAAATGAACAAACATTCAGTATACATCATACAGAGTATCAAATACTACCTCCGTCCGGAAATAAAGTTTACGTTTCTAATTTTTCTCCGTCTGGAAATAAAGTTTACATTTCAATTTTTAACACACAAACTACCCTAAATACCCTCCCCATTTATTGGCTCCTTCTCTCTCAATTTTCCTCCTGCCCCTTCATCTTCTTCTCTCTCTCTCTCTCTCCCTCTCTTTCCCCCTCCCCTTCTTCTTCTCTTTGGACTCCTCGTTGCCTCCAGCCTCTGTCTCGTTGAACAAACACCGCTGCACAGCGACTGGAGCAGGCGGATTGGAGGTGAAAGGGTGTTAAAGACATGCAAGGATGGTTTCTTTTGAAATTTCTTTTTCTGCTTCACCTTCGCTCAGATCTTGTTAAAATTGCATTTGATCTTTCGCTGGAGGTAGTGGGCGGGTCAGCTTTATGGTCGTTGAGCTTCACCTCCTCGTAGATCTGCTTCCTCGTGAAGCTCTTTCCGCTGCAGTTGTCGACGGGTGCTTACGGTGGTGGTGCGGGGCTTATTGTGAGGCTGGAGTTTGGTTGCCGGGTGGGGCTCCTGGTTGCCGATGTTGAGGATGCCGATGTTGAGGACGCTGGGTGATGCTGATAGACCAGGTATTGTGGAGGCGAAAGAAAAAAACAGGGAAGGGCAGAAGGGATGAGGAGGGGTATTGTGGACATTTCCATCTTAAAGTCAACACTCAATAAAAATGATCAAAAGTCAAAACGTAAACTTTATTTTCGGACGGAGAGAGTAATAATTACTCCGGTTCTCAATATGGCATGTTATTATAAAGAAGATTTCATGAGATTTATTTGGTACGTAAAAACCATATAACTTGGCATATTAATATAAAGAGTGTTAAAATTGAGTTCAACTTTAATACCTCTAAAATTTTTGGGGCAAGGAGAGGGCCATAGCCGTTAGTAAGTTGAAATTCTCCTTGTAACTTGACATTGTTTTCCATAGTAAAAACGGAGGGATTGTCGTCACCCCAATCATCTTTCCCGTTGTAATCCGCCGTCACTTGCTCCGCTGTCTTCGCCTGAGTACGTACAATCGTACATTATATTTTGGGATTACCTTTTTTTATGCTCGTTTATATTTTCAAATGACCCATGAAGGCCATGATCAACTTTTTTCATTTATTATAAGGGCCATGCTATACTTACACCACAAATTGTATACCATTTGTACACCACAGGTATACACAAGCATTTTGATGGTTTAAACCGACACAAGTGTTGTTGCATTAACAAAAATTTACACAGACACAAAGTGTTTGTGCATTAACAAAAATTAGTTTTACACCTGCGAGGTACAAAGTGGGGTACAAAATATGGGGTACAAGTAGGTTTATCCTTATTATAAGGGTCGTGCTACACTTACACCATAAATTGTACCCCATTTGTACACCACAGTTATACACAAACATTTTGATACTTTACACCAACACAAGTATTGGTGCGTTAACAAAAATTTACACGGACACAAAGTGTTGGTGCATTAACAAAAATTAGTTTTACACCAACACAACTATTGGTGCAAACATGCGGGGTACAAAATGTTGGGGTACAAATAGCTTTATCCTTATTATAAAGGTGACCCAATGGTCAACTTTTACTTATGTGGCTATATATCAAAAATGCTAGGAGTACACCAAAAGTGTACCCCAAATGTACCCCACCTCCTCCATCACCATATAATTTGGCAAGTAAAATAATAATTAAATAAATAAATAAAAATGAGTGATAATGGAGGGGGTGGTGTACATTTGGGGTACACCTTTTGGTGTACCCCTACATATATACTCCGTATATAATCCAAGTCACAAAGGCTATATTGATCGAACTTCTCTATAACTTTTTATTTCAATTATCAAGATTTATCTAGATTTTAATTGTCACATCCCCAAAATAGATTAAAAATAGGTCGAAATCTACTCTCTTCGTTTCACAAAACTCTTTCATCATAATTTTGCGCACCCCATAAAACAGTTCTATCACACCTGAAATGTCTAAAATACACCTGATTACGTAGTTTATTATGGGTAGAACAAAATTATTTTTGGAGCATTTTTACCATTTTAGGTGTAGATATTCAGAGACCTATGATTCATTTGCACTATGTCAATATAAAAGTCTAATTCATCATTATGTGATTTCTAAGGTGTTGACATTGCATTTTTGACCTTTAACTTCAATGGAGGAAAGTCCGTGTTTAGTTATCATCCAATTAGATTCAAAATGATCCGATTATCTCGAAGATGTTGAAATATATCCCATCCATTAAATGTCAAATTCTTTATATGAACACACACCTGTAGGAAAAGTCCAGTAGATGCCCTAATACGAACACGATGTGGGTCACGGGTGTTCCTTAGAATTTGAAATGTATGTAATACATCAGTTGTATTTTGTACGGCCACCACGTTCGCCCCGCCATTGATTTCGTCTAATCCCACAAATTGGTCGTTGAACACCCTTAAAGAAAAGGTCGTCTCGTTTATTCTCCACAACTGTAATAATAAAAATCGTAGTGAGTACTCCCTATTAACTAAACAAATTGCATCATTAGATTGAATGAATATGAACAGATACTATATGATAATAGAGTCAAAAAAATTAGACAACCGTATTAATAAAAATCGTAGTGAGTATTCTGTATTAATTAAACACACATTGATTGATTTTTTTTTGTTTTTGTTTCTTGGTAGATTTTTTTGAATTTAATACGGAGTAAAAAGAATGTAGTACCATACCAGTCAAAGATATGAATAGTCAAAGAATGTGAGCTAGTAAGTACTCTCTCTGTTCCCTAAAAAAAGGTTCATGTTTTGACTTTTAGCCAAATTAAGAAAAGTGTAATTTTGGTTGACTTTCAATTTTGCCCGAAGTGATAGTTTGGTTATTAGTAAAAAAGTATGATGTGATAGATAGAGTCTGAAAAAGTAGGGATAAAAGTGGTTTTTAATAGAAAAAGGAAGTGTTTTAGGGAATTGGAAAAAAAATAAAAGAGAAAGGGTTTTAAGAAACAGAGGGAGTATATGTGAGAGTAAGATAGGAAAGTGTTTGGGATACACTAAACGTACCCCAAATCAAAACTATGCACACACAGATATTTAATGTTTGTATACAGACATTAAATATCTGTGTAAGTGGGGTTCTCCTAACACTCTCGGGTACAAACAACAACAACAACAACCCAGTTGGATCCCACAACAGTAGGGTCTGGGAGGGTGTGTGTACGCAGACGTTGCCCCTACTCGGAAGTAGGGAGGCTGTTTAACACTCTCGGGTAGAATACAAAAAAAAATCATCATATATATGGCATGGCGGCTTAACTCTGAAAGTTTCCCAGGCAGAGGCGGCAGTTCTATTAGCAACCAACACGGATCCTCCGCCGGACTCCGCACTCACATACTTTCCGGCCGTCACTGACTTCAGCCGGACTTGGGTTCCGTCCTGCATATATATACCACCCGCCGTATTATATTATGTTGTTTACGGAGAATTAATTAGTCCGTATTATAATAATAATAATAATACAATATATATAATGGGTACGTACGAGGAGATCATTGTTGGGAATGGAGTGAAAGAGGGAAGGTTTGATCCATCCTTCAGTGACCAGCCACCCACCCAGGCTCACCGCCCTTATCTTCTCATCATCATGCTCCCATGATGATGATGATGATGATGATGATGATGATATGCAAAACACAATAATAATAATACTGATGATGGGGAGAAGAAGAGGATAACTACTACTATTTGAGGCTATTTTCATTTCATTGGGGGAGTGTGATCGAGAGAACTACTATATAGCAGAGGTTTCAGTATGTAGGGTGGTATGGTACGTAAATGATTGTAATGGTTTGATTTTTTTTTGAATAAATTGTGGTACTATTTGACTACGAATTAAATCTAGTTTAAAATAATTAAATATTATTCAAAACTATACTTTAAAATACTTAATTTTAATAAATTTACATTATAACTAAATATAAACACGCATGTATGGTAGTGGGCCTTTATTCCGAAATCCGGAGTAATTTGCATTATTAAAGTGGCTCGGCTCAAATCTTCAATGAAATTATTTCATTTTGGTTTTGTCGGACGAACATACCATGTTGACTATAAGGGACGACGACACTAGTTACACGCCCTTCTTTAAGTTGGAGAAAAAGATTAGAAATAAAAGAGAAATACTGTTATAGCACTAATATATATTTAAAGTACCTAATATAACACTGATATGAGATGTAATTTTAAATAGTTTTTAAAGTTCCTACTAATTTTTTTAGTTTCTTATAGTCCTCCGGTCTTAAAATTTTTTTGTTTTGACTTTTATTGGTTAAATATCAATACTTTTTGACTAGGAATTAGATACTCCGTATAATCTAAATATACAAATTATATATAAAAATTTGATCTATCAAAATTAAATTATAAAATAAATTCAATTATATTAAATTTATATTATAATTAAATATGTTTTTTCACAATTTAGAGTTGAAGAGCATTAATATCTAACTAAAAATATTAAAAGGAAATGTTATTAGAACATGAGTGAATAGCTTTTTATAGTTTCTTTTAATTTATTTTATTTTCAAGTTTTTCAAATTCAATTCAAATTTTAATTAAAGAATAAACTTATAAATCCTTATAAATATAAAAGGAGCCCACGGCACGACATTGCAGATTTCTTTCAAATCCTTATAAATATATACTCCGTATTTCACATCAGTTATCTCCCACTCACACGTCTAACTTTTTCAACCTTTTTCTCTTCCTTCGCCATGAGAAACTTCTCTGCTTTCGGAGCGGCTTTCAGGGAGCGCCTGAATAAGATCCGGGCAGAGGTTAAAAACGAAGAGAGGAGGAAAGAAATGGCCGGGAAAACATGGGACAGGCTTTCTAAAGCCGCCCTGATTACCGGTGCTGCCGATCTGTTCGGCAACGTTGTCGGTAACATTTTCTCAGCGACAAAGAATGAAGTCCGTTCTACCCTCAGAAGCCTAGGGTCAAAATATGTGCCTCACCCATCCATAAGCCAGATGCTGGAGACGCTGTTGCGCAGTGTTGAGACTATGGATAATCGGACCAAAAAATGTTTTGCCAAAATAAAAGCCATGTCTACTGAGGTGAAAACCATAGATTTAAAGCTGAATAAGCTTTTGCATACAACTGGTGGCAGTCTTGCCGAAGGGAAGGCTCACGCGTCTCCAACCGACAAATGAGTTGGACAAACGCTACGTGACAGGAGAAGTCACCTCGCACCGCCCAAGAACGTGAGACAACGTGTGCACTCTTTGTCTTGTCCTGTAGCGTCTACTATAAATAGCCTTGTAACCCTCAATAGAAGGGATCCAATTTCTTCTCACTAAAACTCCCGTGTAAAAGCTCTTGTGCACTCTACTATCTTCGAATATTAATTGGGCTACAGGTGTTTCCACCTACAATCCTACTGGTCAAGTTGTGTGTTTTATACTTTTACTTTCCCGAATCTAGTAAACAATCCTAGACCCGGTATAAAATTGTTTACCCGATTAGGATTGTTTACTAGATTCGGGAAAGTAAAAGTATAAAACACACAACTTGACTGGTAAGACTGTAGGTGGAAACACCTGTAGCCCAATTAATATTCGAAGATAGTAGAGTGCACAAGAACTTTTACACGGGAGTTTTAGTAAGAAGAAATTGGATCTCTTCTATTGAGGGTTACAAGGCTATTTATAGTAAAGGCTACGGGACAAGACAAAGAGTGCACACATTGTCCCACGTTCTTGGGCGGTGCGAGGTGACTTCTCCTGTCACGTAGCGTTTGTCCAACTCATTTGTCGGCTAGAAACGCGTGAGCCTACTCTCTGGCAATAGGGGTGTGCACCGGTCCAAAACCGGACCGGACCGGACCGGAACCGGTTAGGACCGGAACCGGAATTGCAATTTCTTTAGGACCGAAGACCGGACCTGTTTATTTCCGGTCCGGACCGGTCCGGACCTGTTTTTTCTGGTCCGGTCCGGTTTTACCCTACTTTAGACCGGAATTTTTTTTATATATTTTTTTGCAATCTTATAAATGAATTAAATTATTAAATAAATTTAGAAAAAAATTGAAATAATAAATTGTTTTTGTTCAAAGTATTTAATAAAAATAGTACTTATAAGTAGTAGCAACAAATTCATCAAAACTCATTTTATAACTTATTCAAATTTATAAACTACCGTAAAAATAATAATCTAAAATAAAATTTCTAAAAACTACATATTGGAAAATTGAAATTCATGAATNGAAAATTCCGGGTCAAACCCGGACCGGACCGGAAACCCGGAATCCCTAATTTGTAAAACCCGAGGACCGGACCTGAATCTTTCGGACCGGTCCGGACCGGTCCATTCCGGTCCGGTTCAGGTCCAAAATCCGGTCCAGACCTGTTTTTGAACACCCCTATCTGACAAGACTGCCACCAGTTGTATGCAGAAACTTATTCAGCTTTAAATCTATGGTTTTCATCTCAGCAGACATGACTTTTATTTCAGCAAAACATTTTTTGGTCCGATTATCCACAGTCTCAACACTGCGCAATAGCGTCTCCAGCATCTGGCTTGTGGATGGGTGAGGCACATATTTTGACCCTAGGCTTCTGAGGGTAGAACGTACTTCATTCTTTGTCGCTGAGAAAATGGTACCGGCAACGTTGCCGAACAGATCGGCAGCACCGGTAATCAGTAATCAGGGCGGCTTTAGATAGCCTGTCCCATGTTTTCCCGGCCATTTCTTTCCTCCTCTCTTCGTTTTTAACCTCTGCCCGGATCTTATTCAGGCGCTCCCTGAAAGCCTCTCCGAAAGCAGAGAAGTTTCTCATGGCGAAGGAAGAGAAAAAGGTTGAAAAAGTTAGAGGTGGGAGTGAAGTAGGAGATGACTGATGTGAAATCTGGAGTATATATTTATAAGAATTAACCTGCAATGTCGTGCCGTGGGCCCCTTTTATATTTATAAGGATTTATAAGTTTATTCTTTAATTAAAATTTGAATTAAATATGAAAAACTTGAAAATAAAAAAATTAAAAGAAACTATAAAAAATTATTCACTCATGTTCTAATAACATTTCCTTTCAATTTTTTTAGTCAAATATTAATGCTCTTCAACTCTAAATTGTGAAAAAACATATTTAATTATAATATAAATTTGATATAATTGAATTTATTTTATAATTTTATTTTGATAGATCAAATTTTTATATCATTTGCATATTTATATTATATCTAATTCCTAGTAAAAAAAGTATTGATATTTAACCAATAAAAGTCAAAACAAAAAAAAATTAAGACTAGAGGGGTATAAGAAACTAAAGAAATTAGAAAAAACTAGTAAGAACTTTTAAAAACTATTTAAGTGTTTTTTTATTAATATTAACGGAAAGGTTGTTATGACAATGGAACTCCAACTATGCATCAAACCGAACACCCCTTCCCCACCAGCTTCAATTGCACCCCCTAATATTATTGCAATTGTTATTGTTATTAACATTATAACTACTATTCCTATGACTATTATTATTATTGCTATTACTATTACTATTACTATTATTAATATTACAGTTTCCTATGTCCCAAAATGTAAGCAATCGTTACTTTTTCTGCTTCTCAATAATTTTTGTTTGTTTACTCATTCTCGTTGACTATTTGATCAAATAAAATATTATTGTCGCATCTTGTTTGCAAAACCTTTGCTCTTTTTTTGAACGGTATAATTTTTTAGTTTTCATTTCTTTACTAATTTATAAATAAAATAAATTTAAAAAGAGATGATATTTTATACATCATTCGATATTTTTATATTCTTTCCGTCCACAAATTTCAACCAATTTCAAACATAACCATCTCGTCATAATTTCAATATTTTTATATTCTTTCTGTCCACAAATAAACTTTCTATTGCGCGTTACGATGTTTGACTGAAATTATTTTCAAATCATTTTATATGAAATATGATGTAAAATTTAAAAGTAAAAATTACATATTAAAAAATTATATCAAAAGATCTACAAAACTAGAGGTGACATGTCTATATTATTTTATCAAATAGGTGACGAAAATAGGCCAACAAAGTGAATAAAGTTTGAACCTGTAAATAGTGAACAAGAAGTTTGTTTGTGAACGGAGAGAATATATTTTTATAAATTTTATATTTCTTCTCACACTGAATCCAAACATTCCTGGTTCTGAACACCAAGAATATGTTCAATAATTGTTATCGGCCGACTTATAACGGTTCCGAGTCTTGGACTCCATCTCCAAACTTCTTCTCGTGTGGCTCTCAAGGTTTATTTAGCATTTCTGAACTTCATCCCGGAAACTCAATCTCATTACATGTCGGAGACGCAATCTCCGCATGACCAAGATACTAAGCTCGAAACGGAGTCTGTGAAGAAGAAAAAGGCTCCACTTCCAAACACACGAAGTTGGCGCCAACAAAAAGAATAAGTTTCGTTTGGTCGAATGAGGAAGAGAGTGTGTTGGCAGGTATTGGATTGATATGTCGCAGGATCCAATTCATGTACAAAAAAACAAAAAAAGGGGTTGGAAATTTGCCTCGCACATGGCTCCCAAGGCATGATGGAAACCCTTGCCACACCACAATTTTGGAGGAGCGGGGCTGAGTTGGCATGGCAAGACACTCCTCTTCCTCGCTGCTGCTGATGCTCTAACGGGTCTGTTTACTTCTGTTTTTTACCCACTTTTTTTTCATTTCCTATTTCAAGCTTTTCATCCTTTGCTTTTTTCTAATTTGGAAAGCATACATTCCAACACAAATTTTATAATATCAATGACAACATTAACAGTAGTGGTAGGTAAAAATGGTGGTGCTCACCAATTGTGTAGTTCTTGATTATTATTGTGATAGGTAGTGGTAGTGGCTGACAAGTTCTATCGATGGTTACATAGTATAGTTATCACGGCGTCAAGGCGAGGCGTGGCGCCGTTGCACCGCCAGGATGCCTAGTAACCTAGGTGAGGCTTAGGTGAGCAGTTCTAAATGATTAAATATAGTAACAAAATGCAACTTTATAAAGTACTCTGTATATAATATTGTTATTCAATAGGTGCACCGTTCATACTCAACATACCTGTCCATTTGGAACTAAATAAAGAACACTTCTTATGTTGCCCCTCTTTAAGAAAACTAATTGTTGACACCCAGGCTTTAAAAAATTATTATTATTATTATTGTTGTTGTTGTTGTTATTATTGTTATTATTGTTGTTATTATTGTTATTATTATTATTATTATTACTACTATTACACTCCAGTTCTTTTGACAACTATTGTTTTCAAAATATGACATGAGCACCTACAGTGCTCCAAGCGAAAAATTAATGGTTCTTACTCCCCTAACGTCCTAACCGTCGCAGCCCCCACCCCAAAAGCCCCTACCCCCATCCCAAAAATTCCGATTATTATTGTTGTTGTCATTGTTGTATATTTATGCCAAATAGTGAACATTTCTAACCATATCAAGGAATGAAAGGAACTTTTCCCCTAAGTTAAGTTATATCCAAGATTAAGTCAGGGAACCCAAGTAGTAGGTAGAATACTAAAAAATTAGGTTGCTCAGGTTGAAGAAAAAATTACCATTTCAAACCTCTGTTCAATTGATTTGCACAAGTCTTCATGACTATTGTCAGGCCCATACCAAATCCGCTCCCAAGTAGACATGAATCCATTGCTAGCAGCAGCTCACTGCATTAAAAAATTACCTATTCAAGGGATGAAACAGCACATAATGAACAAAACAGAACACATTTCATTTTCTTCTCCAAAAGATAGTGGAAGCAATAAATGAGAAAAAACATAATGTTCATCAGTTCCTACGCCCTGACTTTAGGAGGTATACTTTCAAGCTGTTTAATTGGAGTTTATCATCTAAGACAAATACTAATACTTTGCACTTCTTACCTTTTTTTGTAAAGCTGAAAATCTAACAGGAAAAGGAAGAAATCAAATACTACTCCCTTCATCCGACTATTTACATTTTTCACCAATATTTGCCTCTATCTCTTCATCTCACTATATTTGTTTCTTGCCATATTTAGAAACATTTAAGTGACTCATACTCATTCTTACTTTTTTTTTAGTTTTTAGCTTCAATATCATAAACATAATTCAAAATTTCTAAAATGTGCACCGCATCCTCATGTCCCGAAAACAATAAAACAAAGGTACTAAAAAAACAATTAAACAAAAAGTTCCAACCCAAGTAACTCGTGGTCGACTACACGAACCCAAAAGAGAATCACGTTCGTTAGCTCTAACAACTGATTTCTATACTTTCTTTTGTTTGATCTTCACAAATGCTCAATGGATCAAGTTGGGAAAGCTTTGCTAGCCATTGCTGATGAAAGAAAAAAAGACGGAGTAAAAGTTAAGTGTGAAGCCAAGAGCACTTTAGTCTTTCTGTTGGGGAACATGTTGTTGGTTTGTTAACTATTATACCTTCCCCTTGCCTTTTCACTTTGTGCTCTTCCATCTATTTCAAGAGTTCTTCCATTCAAGCTAATAGCCATCAATAATTTTCTTTTTGAACAAAAAAGGACCACTACTCTGCACATAAACCACTATATCTACAGCTTTTGGTTAATTATTGGTCACTTCCACATTTCAACCATTATTACAGAGTACTACTAGTATTATTTTTAAAATGACTGGGTGAATTCTGGAGTTCAGATTTTATTTTGAAGTTTTTATTTGGATGTTCACAAATTTGGATGCTATGATTATGAAAATTACGGTCAGGGGCATGACTACGTATTAGGCTCTTCACAAATTTGAATGTTACGTGCATAACCTTTAGTTTACAAATTTTAGATGTTTTATAGAGTTGCATTTTATAAATTTTAAAAACTAAAATCCGAGTTTAGATCCCTGATTTGAGCTTTAATACCCACTACTGATCCCAGCTTATGATCTCAAGTGTAACAACATTGGTACAGAGTGGCATGAAATTCGTTCACCCCCAATATCTGTTTCCCCTACTTAGAGCAAGGAAATTAGTAGTTTTCACTGCATGAGTTAGCCATATGAATTGGGATAGTGGGATACCATCGTGTTTGGCTTAAGAGCCTCTTTACACTAGATTCAAACATCTTCTGTATCCCCTTTGACAGTACTTAGTTGTTTTAATTTCACATATTCCTAAGAGGGCAGTATAATAATAAAAATAATATAATACCGGAGTAATAATTAACATAAATTTAAAAGGAGAAATCAAGTATTTCAGTTAAACAGCAGAATAGAGGATTTCAATTACCTTCTGCATCGCGAGATGCCTTTGAACGGCAGGCAGGACGGGATCCTGCGTTTTAAAGAAAAAATGGAGAGGATTGAATAACACAAAGTATTTGTACCCAAAAATAAAAAAGGAGCATAAAATCAAAAGGACAATTGCTATGGTAATTCTAGCAAAACTAGGGTTGTAATTCCGGGATGGGTTTGAAAACTTTCTCATGCGTTCCTTACCTCCCCCTCCCCCTCCTCCTCCTCCTCCTCTGCCACCACCGGAGAAGCCCCTGCGAACTCATCTATGCGAAACAAATGGCCAGTTCAGGTTTGCGGGAAGAAAGATTTATGTAATTGGCCTAACCAGTAACCACTAGGAGTGGGTCTGGAAAACCCAAATTGAATTGTGCCAAAAAATAAACCTAATCCAAAGAATAATAGGGAATTAGGGAGTAATGAAATCAAACAGAACTATTTTCAAACTAATCCATTTTCCGTTTTGGATAATGAAAACCAAATCGAATAAAAAAAACTGAAATATGTAAATTACCACCAAAAATTTTAAGATGAAGAAAAAAGTTAAACATTTTGGTTATGATAAGTCTCCATTTTCTTTAGGTTTAATTGTTTAAGTGTAAACTTTTTGGTTACGTTGAGCCTCCTTTTTGCTGCAATTAATTATTAGATAGATATTTGCATGTTTTGGGAGTCGTAATTGTTATTTTGTTAACGGATACTTGTAGTGTTTGTAGTTTACTTTTTCTAGTTTTATTGAAATAAATATAATATTTTTATAAAACAAAATTCTAAAAACCGAATAATCCAAAAAACCGATGATTGCACCAAAAAAATCAAATAAAAAAATTGATTATTTACTTTTTTCTGAAAAACTAAACCGAACCGCCAAATTAATTTCTATTTTTTGTCTTTGGTTTTAAGGAAAAACCGATCCCACCCCTACTAACCACCCTACTGACCCAACAAGATTCCGGCCCAAACGATCGGGCATGCAGCACAAAGACCCTCCGAATTGGACCATACTTATAGCTAAACAAACAAAAGGCAAAGACCAAGTAAGATATCTACTTGGTTCAGCCCCCGATATGAGTAGTAACTAGTAACCGGTCACTTTAAACCTCACATTGGTAAAGACATTCGTTCTATTAGGGTGGGCATGGTATGATATGGTACGTTTATCTGGGGCTCCGTCGTTTATCATTTCTTGCTTGTGCTATATCGGAAAGCGGCGTCAAGGAACTTGTTTTCATGGGGAAGGACTTGGATGGTGGTCGACACAGGAGAATACTTTATTACAATCTCTAATCACGAATTCTTCTAATATGAAAATCTAGAACCGCTCTTGGGTGATGATGCCCTTTTTTCTCTTTTAATTCTCATCCCTATAATAGCTAATATCCTCCCATCCCTCTTAAAAAACATAGATGTTTGACATAAATTATTTTTAACTGATTTATTAATTTCAAAATTTATCAAGATGTTCTACAAACAAGAGGTAATATAATTTTTTGATGTCTCTTCGCATATCTTCATATAATTGTATTTGAATTTCAATACTTCGTATCATATAAAATTCGAAACATTTTCTAGTACTAGAGTTTTCAAGCCCAATACTCAGGATTAACGAGAAAGTTCACATAGTTCGAGCACCAGTAGAAGTGCAGACATAATTCTTTGTGTTTCACTAGGTTGGGAAAAAATATAAACAAATACTAAATTGTAATCAAGTCGATATCACTCAAAATATTACCGTATTGATTACCTTCATTCGCTAATCTCTTTACCTGATTTGATTCCAACTATGCACCGTAGGTGTCTAATAAGATATTGATTATCAATGTTATAAAAAAATACTTATGTTCTAAAAAGACATTGGTGATCAATGTAAAAAAAATGTACTAGTATATCATATGCTACAAATTACAATTAAAGTATAAAAAGTATTTATTGACAAACAAAAAGAACACAAATTACACTTTAACCGAAAGGTAAAAAGCATTTTTTTTATTTCAACACCGTATTTATTTCTACAACAAAAGCTGTCAACATGTTTCTTTGTCAAACATTACAAAATTTATAAATAAAAAATAAAAAATTACAAGATTTCTGTATTTCGTATCCACATTAGTATCAGATTTAGTGCCCCCAAATTTTTACAGTTTTTTACCCACCCAAAAATATGCTCCCCAATTTTCAAACAAATAAATAAATAAACATTAGGCTTCAGCACATTTTGTTGGTGCAAAACCAAGCCTGGACTTCTTAGTGTCATACATTATATGAAAATTCTGTTGCTGATAATTCCCAATGATAGATAAACCGGAGCGAGGAGTCCCAAGGATGGCCAAGCAAACAATCTCTTCCGGTTCGATCCGGATGAAGTAATTCTCGACCGGAAAATTCCAAACCGCCCCGTCCGCGAACACGATGCCGAACGACGGCAAATCGATGGCCCCGGCCCCCGACACGTTGTAACATGGTTCGAGTATCGGGAAATCGTTGACGGTCGGGTACCGGTTTCCCGCCTTCTTAATGAAGGCGTTTTTGATGATGTCATACGCGGGGTCCGCAAAGTAGCTCAGAGTAGTTCCAGAGTCAATGATGGTCCCTCCTACCCCTTCGGGCGAGAGGTCCCACGTCTCCTCCGGGACCCGGACCGCTTCCCCGCCAACCAGGACGGACTTGATCTTCAAGTAGTAGAACGTCTCGACCGGGTTTTCGTTCCGGTTAACCAATGAGGTGAAGTTCAATTGTGGGTGACTCAATAGTGACTTGTCCTCCCCAAATATTAACTTGCTACTAATGCTTGAATTGCTATTCCTATCAACCAAACAATATGAGAAAGAGTGGCCATAGAGGGATTGGAGCTGGGAGGCGAACGAAAGCGGTCCCCTCCCTAGCCCCAACAACCCTGCGGCCCCATGGAACAGTCCCCTGTTCCAATGGCCGCATCCGAACGAGACGTTCTCCACCCTCCTGACCTCGGGCGCTCCGGCCCGGGTCGTCAGGTTGACGGTGAACGTCTCAAGCGCGAAATCGCCGGTTGTGTTTGAACTGTCGCCGTACCAATAGTAGTAAGGGCACGTTTGGGAGCCGGAATCGCAGGGGATCGGAGGGTCGGGGGACGAAACGAGGTGGCATTTAGGGTCATTGCAGCTTATGTTTCTGTAGGATTTGGAGTCTTTTGGGTCATAGTAAGGACCCTTTTGCTCAAAGCAATCCAAACAAGGGACACATTGGATCCAATTAAGGTCACTTCCAGTGTCAAGAATCAGAGAGAAGTGTTTGGGAGGTGTACCCACAAACACATCCATGAAGTACTCCCCTGACCCTAGACTCACCCCGGAGCCTATAGTGGCCATCAACTGGCCGGAGTTCAAAGATCCCGGCGAGAATTCCGCCGTCCGGTCACCGGAGGGACTGGGATTCTTGATTCTTGAAACTGTGTTCTGGTTCTTCTTCTCTGTTATCCTCGTGTGTAATGTCTGGATTCTTGAAAAGTCCCTCGTGGTTGACTCAAAGACCGAATCTCTCCTCCCCGTCGATTCCTGGCCGTCCGATCTGTGCCGGAGATGGAACTTCACCGGCTCCGAATCGCCGTCTCCGACGGAGCCAAGCTCCGGAGAGTGAAGGGAATGGGTGGTTGACTTTCTGGGAGTCACAAAGCTGCAACCTGAGCTTGAAGACGAAGAAACAGCATTGAAACTTGGGTGCTGGGGCATTTCAATCCCAGATGAAGAAGAGTTCGAGTTCAGATTCATGAAATTTTGGGTCAATCCCCCAGAAACCAAAAACCCAGAAGAAATCAGCAAGAGAGAAATCAAAATGAAGCAAAAACCCCATCTTTTCGCCATGACCGGAAGAAGGTAAACAAAAATTAAAGCAGATTTCTTGAACGGAAGAGCAATAAATTGAAAACCCAGAACTGTAAAAATGGGATCTTTATGAAACGTGAAGAGATTTTATGGATGGAGAGGCTACGGGGGATTTGGGGAATTCACTGAAGAATTTGAGGAAGTTTGAACAATGACTTTGAATGGTTTCTCATGTGGTCAGTTTAATACTACGCGCTTTTCTATTTTCTTCGCTGTATCTCGTACTGTACGTAATTTCCTTACACTGCGGGTCAATGTTTTGAAAACCGGACCGGACGTCGACTCGAACGAGGTAGTGGGTCAAGGGTTGACCGGTTGAACCGGGGGTCAACGACCCGGTCAACTATGTTTATAATAATAATATTTTATGATATATTAGATATTTTTAGTTAATAAAATATTTTAATTTATGTTATTATTTCTCCATCTCTTTTTTAATATCCTTATACATATGATATTTCAGACCTTCGATTTTTATTTTATTATTTTTATTATTATGAAAAGTTAATACTGAATCTCTAACAAATACTTAAATAATAAGGCGATACTCATATTTTCTAAAATTAAAGACTATATATTTTATTCTTATATACATATGACATTTTGAAGTTAATATTTAGTTGATTAAAATGATTGAAAATAAAAAATATAGCATATTAAATTATACTCCGTAATTAATAATATTACTTAATTTTTGAAGACAACAATTTTTTAAATATAAAATATACAGAGTATATTTATTTTCAAATAAAAATTAAATTATTCTCAATTTTTAAAAATATTTTAAAAGTTCATAAATACAAATAATTCACACTTGCACAAAAAACTACATACTAGTATTAATTTTGTATGAACCTTTTGTAAAACCATAAATACATATGATTGATACCTAGATTTTGAACAAAGATTGAGTAGCTCACTTGGCTAACAACTTGAACTAGCATACGGGAGGTGTTGGGGTTGATTCCCAGCCACCACTTTCGATTTTTATGTCTAAAAGTTTAATAAAATGTAGATTTAAGCCCAAACCCGGGAACCGGACGGGTCGACCCGGTTCACCGGGTCCGACGGATTTGGGCGGGTCAAAAGGGAGCCGGGTTTCTTCAGTGAACCGGACCGGATTTGTTGCCGGTTCGCGGGTCGACCGGTTCGACCGGCCGGTCCGGTCTGGTCTTCAAAACACTGCTGCGGGTTAGAAAACCTAAGTCTACAATAGAATTTGCCAAAAATCTAAAGCCGCACCATTTTTATTATTCTCTCTACTCCTAACTTCCTAAGTTGGTTTACATTGTAAATAAGTAATTTTTTATTTATAAGTCAGTTGATTTGATGATATTTTTTTTGTATTTATAAGCTGATTGTAAGCCATGAAAAAAATAAGTATGTCTTATCTACTTATTTTAATGACAGTTTTTTCATTTCTCTATTTTGATCAAATTATTTACAAATTACCCCCACCATTTATGAATATTTTCAAAAAAATTATCTATTGTTTAGGTCATTTTACTTTCACAAATAAATATTTTTTTTATAAGTAATTTATAAGCTAAAAACTACTTATCCGAGAAACATTCTTATAATATGCCTTAGGACTAAGGTTTTCATTTTTCATAAGTATTTTGGATTAAACTTTAAATGATATTGGTTGTATTTTAAAATGCCAAAGCTCAACATTATCATTAAATACTCTTTTTTCAAAACGTTAAACATCGAAGACATTACCAAACAAGCTATGTATATGACAGTTCACACTCCGGTATTACAGAGATACACACAAATAATTTTGCTCTGTCTTTTTCCCTGGGTGAAAAAAATATAGTGGATACCTAATATTACTAAAATTAAATTGGCCTTTTTCATGAACCGTGTTAGGACATTTTTACAAAATATTTAGTGACAACGATATTGTTTTGTGTTGGCGACAGAAGAAGGAAGTCATATCGAAGAAGGAAACTGAATCCCTTTGGGATTCGATTTAGTATCTTTCCTAGTTTGTTTATTTCTTGTTTTAGTAGGAATAGAAATATGGTAGGAATAGAAGTTTACTTATATAAAGAGGATTAGACATTTGTATTCACAAGCCAATTCAATATATAGAAATATTTTCTCTCTTATTTTCTACATGGTATCAGAGCAAGTTTTGAATTCTTGAGACCTCAAACAGGCTTCTTCTCCTGCCGGTGGGCATACACAATTCAATGCCTACCAGCGGGATATTGTAGTTTTTTATTTTCTTTGATTGTTCTCCCTCAATAAAGAATATCATGAACTCCTTCAACGAAAAACATTGCTGTCGAGGAATCCCGCCCAACCATCAATCTTGAAGAAGTTGTCCGAGAAGGGTTGTTCTACAGAAACAGACAACTCTTTCCTTAGCAGGCAATAAAAAAAGTCGGCGTTCAGGGTGTTCGAAAAGAATGGCGTTCCCCCTGTTTGATGGTTGAGGTCTCAATAAAAAAAGTCGGCAGGAGAAGAAGCCTGTTTGAGGTCTCAAGAATTCAAAACTTGCTCCGGTACCATGTAGAAATTAATAAGGGAGAAAATATTCTGTATATTGAATTGTTCTGTGAATACAAAGATCTAACCCCATTTATATAGGAAGAGAATAAAGCATATAAGTAAACTTCTATTCCTACCATATTTCTATTCCTACTAAAACAAGAAATAAACAAACTAGGAAAGATACTAAATCGAATCCCAAAGGGATTCAGTTTCCTTCTTCGATATGACTTCCTTCTTCTGTCGCCAACA